TCGCTCATTCACATCATAGCAGTAGCGGCGACGTTCCGCGCTCCCCGCTGACTGCTTCTCTGTCCGAGTTAGAATTTACAGAGTGATATTGATGCGCGGAATCGAAAGCCGCGCCGGAGAGCGCCGTTCGAAATTGAACATCCCGGACACTCGCTGTGTCGCCGCTTGAATGTCCCGGCGCAGTCGCGACATTGATCGAACGCGAGGGCCGCCGAAGCTTTGCAGAAGGAAGACGGGAGCGTGTGAGTCTCTCAATTCTGTCTATCTATTTATTTATTTGGGTGGGGCTCCTGCGGCGCCTGCATCATAAAATACTTTCGGAGGACTTTGCCTTTTCCAGATGGATGAGCATGTGGATACCAACGTGCGGGAAGCCAGCTGTGACGCTGGAAAGCAACCCATCATTCCCTCTTGAATTGTCAGACCGTTTTTTTTTTTTTTTCGTTGAACTCAATTTACCCGAATGGAGCAAAAACACAATCGCAGTGCACATGCTTCATGAAAACTTCCAAACTCGAATTGGATTTAAAGTCCAAACGAGAATGAGATCTCAGCAAGACAGAAACACGGCAGTAATAAAATAAAAATATGCAAGAACAATATTTCAATTCAAGCAAAAGACGTATACGGTCGTAGCGTCTTCCTCGTTCCCGCATCAGTCAAAAAAACCCAAGAAACATTCACGGATGCAAAATATTGTTGGTCCCTGCCTCAAGTCTTGGCAAGAGAAATGAGATGCGTTGTTTTTGCAAAATGCCAGTCGCCTTTCACTTCACGATGTTCGGCTCTCCCTGTGCTGCATAGCTGCCATCTTGAGTTGCCGGCAAGTCACCCATAAAATTGCATTTTTCATGTTGCCCACATAGCAAGCGGCTCCAACGCGTATGTAAATGACAAGTGTCCGTCAGCAAAGGCAAAAAAAGGCTTCGCCGAGGATTACAGCGAGCGCGGCAGCGGCTTTTACGGCTCTAATGATGATAGCGTTGATGAATGGTAATGATGCGAGAGAGCGGCCTCATCACGCACGTTCGCCAGGCCTTCTCCCACAGCCTTTATTCCGCCGCGGACCATCACAGCGCACCCGTAATTCACTCTGCGGCACGGCTAATGTTCTTTATTGTAACCCCGCGTTGCAATTACGTTAGTGATCCAAGCTATGCTCTTTGTTGGCATTCAGGAAGTTTCAGGCTCCTTTTCACCGGAAAGATAATTGCTGTTTTTGTACCAATCGATAATTACAAATGAAATGGCTCAACAGCGACAGCGTCGGTCAGTCAAACATTGCTGGGGGATTTTGTACAAATAAATTGAAATGTGGTGCACTCCGCAGGAATGACATGCCGTGCTCGAAAAGTTCAAAACTTTTGCTCGGAAAAAAACTACTACTCGTTAAAAAAATAAAAAAATTAAAAAATCAGTCATCAAATACAAAGGGTAAATCAAAATGGACCTTTTAAACAACACCTAGGAATTTAGTGTGTTTATTTTTTGTTTGTTTTTGTTTGGTTATGGTTTGCTAACACATAAAAATCCAAACATCCTATTTTGTTAAACAGGCAAACGGCCAGACAGTTGGCAGGCAGACCTGACTTCCGTTCAAGCCTAACATCGTTCAGAGGTAAAAGTGACGCGTGTTTTATGGTTGTTTTGCAGCACGGGCATTCCAAATATCAATCTCGTCAAGCAGGAACAATCCGAACTTTTACACGGCTAAATTGCATTAATCAGCAAGTCGTAGAAACGCGCCGCGGGGCTCCCGCGTCTTTCCCCGTATCTTCATACGCCGGCCCAATCTATACGACATGCATAATTCATGTCCGCGATACCGCCGCCATAAATAGATTTATCATCACGCAATAAATGAACGGCGGAGTGTGAATAAATGTTGAAGGGACGCCATCCATCTCCTGACCCGACACACAAGTGGATTTAGCCGCCGAACATGAATAATGCAGAGTGAGTGTGAGTGAGTGAGACAAAGGCCTGGGGCGTCACATGTTGCTATCAAAGAGATATTTGGAGCTGCGGACGCTCCCGACGGGGCCACTCGGAACCCACACACCTAATCAATAGCCCGCTTCCAATAATTAGTGTTTACTTGAGCTCGTTGTGCCGCCCGTGGCCGTAACTGGCGCTCGCCTCCACTGTTGTGATGCCGGGAGCGAAGGTCAAGAGTGTCGCTCTCTAATTGTCTGGCGCGTGAACCGGGGATGAACACCCGATTGGGTGTGCGTCACTGCACTCGGTCTGTTGACATTTAGCGGCTAATGAACAGCGCAACCGGTCGCAGGTGCTGCTGCGATGCGGAAATGCTAATCCGCTCGAGTGAATCCCAGCGATACGCCGATGATTACAATATATTAGTCTGTTGGAGAATTTCAGAGGCGCCGTGTTCAACATGCACGAGTTCACATCAAGCTGCCTCCCGAGTTGCCTGCCTTCAGATTCTGAGACAAATGAATGCTACAAATAGAATTGTACAGCCATCTTGTTTCCGTGAGAATTTTGGTGGAATTTGAACAAAAATTGACTACTTGGTAGAAAATGTCCACATTTTTATGCACAGGTGTATTTGGACATAGGGTCATAAATAAATATGAGAACCTTGCCGCATTGTTCCGCATTGTTCAGGCCGTCGATTTATAACGATACAATTACTGTATCTTGTTGCCCGCTTCTTCGAGTCGTCCGTGTCAAACACACCAAAACACACACTTTCCATTTTCTCTTTATCTTTACATTTGCCATCTCAAGGGGCGCGGGACTCCTACACTCTCAGTGAGTGTGTCTTGATTAGTATCCGCCTGTGCAATTTCCTGCCAGATTACAGTGATGGATTCGCAAAAAAAATATCAATCAGCGCGAGTCGGCCACTTGAAAGTGGCTTTCATTAGCTTTCTAACACTTTTGTTCTCGTCGCGCGCTCAAGGGCAATGTCACCGACAGCTACCAACGTGTGCGTTAGCTTCCTATCGATAGGACAGAGTCCTTTTCACGCGACAAGTCAAAATGGAAAAGTTGGTTTCAAAGCGAAATCGGTTCACCAGCGTAAGCAAACAGCTCAAAGGGCATTGCTTCAATGCGCTAACTCGGTATCAAATGGAGAAAATGACATAGTCTCATCTAAACAAGTGACATTACAGATAGCCGTGACGACATCCGATCAAAAACATGATCCCATGAGCAATGATCGGCTCGAGATGCTGCGGTGTGAATGAACAACATTCTGACCTGTCACATAAACCAGCTCCAGATTGAAGTGCTGTCATGTAAACAAATAACACGGGATCAAAATGCTGTCATGTAAACAGCTCAAATGCTGCAACGTAGACATCAGAATAAAATGCTTTCACGGGAACGTCGGATGAGAAAGATGTCAAAACATCAGGTCGAAATGTCAACAAAAGCCGAGATAAAAAAAAAAATTGCGTAAGCTAACGTTGGATCAAAAGACTGTCAGGTAATCGTCGGTTGGAAAGGCTGTCACGCCAACAAACAACATTGTTTCAAAACGCTGTCATGTAAATAATCATGGATCAAAGTGCTGTCGTGTAAACAAACGGCATCAGTTGGAAACCCTGTCGCGGGGGTGGGGGGGGGGGCGCATTAGCATGCTGTGATTTGTTTCGACCTCGTGAGAGCCCGATGACGTTGGCAGCCCGATGTATGATCATGTGAGCCGGCTGCAGGTGGCCACGGACGGCGTGGGCGCCGCCCTGTTAACATGTGTGCCGACTTCGAGGACAAGCGCGCTTCAGACGGCCGCGGTCGTCGTTCTCGCGCGTAGCGCTGGAAGATTGCCGACTTATTTCGGCTCGCAGTGACTGATGGCCGCGGGCGCAAATCAATCGGGTGCACTCCGCTGGCGCGCACTCTGTCTGTTGGTGGCGATAGGGATAACATGTCACAGAGGACCTTCTCCATCTTGTCACTTTAAACGCAATCAATAGTGCTTCCCCCACTGAGCGTTCCTCTTCTTCTCGGCATGCCGCGATCGATAACCCGGTGACCGGCGGGGCTCCGCAACACAAAGCCAGGCGCCATCAAACACTCCGAGTGAACACAGGTAGATGGTTTTTCTTCCCCCCGCTCACCGATCTTTAAACGCAAGAGCAACAGGTGGCACGCTACAGCCGACTGCATGTCACCAAAAGATCATCTTAGCCAATCAGAAAGTTTTCATGTCTTCACCAAAGGTCCACATGCTGATGTATCGAGTCTCAATCCGGTCACCGAATATCTGAGATGCTGGCTAAGAAACATACCATTGTTCACTCCGAACGAGGCATGCAAAAATAACTTTGGGAAAAGAGTCATCGTTTTTTTCGAGACAAATTCATGATTATCGGACATACTATCTAATGTTGTGCCTTTTTGCGATGGCAAACACAATTGTTCAATTATACAAGCAAGCCTGTGGCCAGTGTCTTTTTAAACGAGCGCGCTCTAAAAAATTCAACAAGCACATATCTGCATGCCTGCCGGGAGGAGGTGCGCTTCTTAACGATTGCATTAATTGCCTGGAGGATGTCGCTCGCTCATGCATATTTGACACTTTTAGCCGCGTGCTCGCGCCGCGTCTCGCCGTTAATGGATGCCGTGTGGCTCTGTGCTGCATACGGATCATCCGCTCCCATCCATAGCCCAACCGCCGCCGCCGCTGCTTCGCCTCGCCCTAATGGCAACCGAGAGCCCTCGACGCCATTCTCTGGCCGTCAAACAAGTGTGTGCGATGGTGGCTGACAACCAGGTGACAAGTGCCCCCCCGAGTGCGAGCAGATTGGACGCCACGTCCTCTCGCAGACACCCTGACGCCGCCGGTTCACGCGTGGTGTCAAATGCGATGCATTCAATGACTTTTTCAATACTTTTCAAGCCAATCGATCACGCGGTTTTTGCATCCGATTGTGCCGTCCCAATTTTGGGCTTTCTTTCCCCGATTTCACTTCACCTCCCGAATGCGTTTTAGTGTGAGACAGGCTGGGAGATGCATCCTTTACCTGAGACGATCTCTTCCCGCTCTGCGATTAACCTCTGGCTCCTGCGGCTCTATAAAAAGAAAGAAAAGAAAAATGTTTAACTCTCATCCAGAGGCTCAAGGTCTTTACCAGCCAGACGTTTGCGCAGTAATAATAAAACAGTGAGAATGAGAGAACTGACGCCATAAAGAAAGACGAACTAATGTCCTTGGAATTCTGCATAATGAGAAAGTTTTGTATAGTGAATGGATTTGTGCCAATGGATGCGACCCGCTAGGCTGAGTGAAGCGCCGCGTTATATAAATGTAGCGTGTCTCTACATTAAAGTAGATTCAATAAGGCCTGAAAAACTTCAGGTTTCGATCCTGTTGCGATGCATTTTCTTGTGCTGTTACTTACAGGTCCAGCAGGGCTGCCTCTGCATCTCAAAGGGCGTGTTCAAGCGCGACTTGACGCCAAGCGGGCCGATAGGGAAGCAGGGGGTGTGTCTTCCTCCAGCTTCGGGGTGATTCGCCATGGCTGCTGTGCAGGCAAAGCCGTAACGTTAGCATTCGCTTTTTTTGTTTGTTTTTTTTTAACCATTAAAGTAGTATGAATGCTTCAAAAGAATTTTGCCAATTTTTTATGCAAAGTGATGTTTGAAGCAAAAACTCCATATTTTCATTATTTTAGGGATTTACAGGCTGAAGTAGAAGGGTGTAATAATAACAAAGTCGGGAAGATAAGGGAATATTGTGTGTTGATGGACCTTTGCCATTGTTTTGACTCATCACAAAGCCAAAATGCTGTTGCCTTGAAACAAAACAGCTGCTGCGGAAGAAAAAAAAAAAACCGAATGACTGTCATTCCGGGAGACTTATGGTGAAAATGTGCCTAATGATCATTGCCTCTGCATCTCTAATTCATTTATGACGTTCACTAATCGGCGCCACTTATTCTTAAGACGACGGAGACCGTCAGCTCGAGGATGCGAGCTTTGAGGAGCTCATCACAAGGCGGCAGAGACGGCGAGATGAAGTGCGCGAGGCCCGGTAATAACGTCCGTCAGGGTTGCGCGCACGCTGACCCGTGCCACCGTGGTTGTCTGCACTCCCATCACCTCCATCTCTCAGGATTACCTCTCACCCCTCGAGCGAGGGAGGGTGGGGTTGGTCAAGGGGGAGAAGCGGGAGCCTTGTCTTCCAGTAAATCTGCCAGCCTCATCAGTGTGAGCTGAGATCACATCTGCTGCTGGAAGAGCGGAACGCTGCCAGCTCACACTCGGCAGTCCAAAAATTCTTGTCAGAAGGAGGCTTCTTGGGAATTGGGTAGAAAGAGCCGCACGACAGTGGAGTGCGAAATTGTCATCTGAAGGTTCCATGGAATCATGCTGTTGTGATGAATGGATTTGCAGAAGTATTGTTTGGTGCTGGTTTCATTCGCTGCTTGGTTGTTGACTCTCTTGACGGTTGATTGTTTAGTTGATGGCGGTTGGTTGTTTTATTGGTTGCCTGCTTGTTGAGTTGACTAAAATAGTTTACCAAAATCTTTTAAAGGAATTGTGTGTTTGTCTACTGCAATTGTGACGGCAATTTTGTAAATTTGGTCCGAACAATCCCTGCAAAATAGTGTAACTCAACTTTTGAGTCAAATTTGCCGTCTTTTACTCGAGGTGCCCACGCCAGCGGCGGGCCGGGCACTTCTTTTTCGCGGATGGTTGAGTTTTGCGGAGGAACAGCTGCGATCAGGAACATTGGAGGTACACGCATACATAATGAGACTCCGCAGAGCTGCCAACACAGTCACCGCTGATTGCGTGATGAGGAACACGTCTTGTCCAGCGTGTTTTTATTTTATAGATATATTTATGTATAAAAGTGACCTTGGGAAGGTTTGTCACTCGAGGGCCGATTAGACGACGTCACCGTGATTTTTATGGCATGACGGATGAGAAAGCGAAGCGCGTCACGTGACGTCGGCTAGTTATTTTAAAAACGAGCCGAGTGCTGTTGTTCTCATTAAGCGAGCAACGTGTGAAAGCGAGTGATCATAAATATGACTGAGAGGTGATTAAAAATGAAAAACGACTGCAAAAATGTGAGGAAATTAACACCCACGTTCGAAAGATGTGCTGCACATCCTGCATTTTTATTGATTTCCATTTGGTTCAATGTCATGTAGTGCCATTGAATGATATTAAGCTTCACTGTCTTACTTAGCACTGCAGTTTTTGATCATTATTTTAATATTTCATGTAGCTGCCGGGTTTAATTTAATTTAATTACATTGGGTTGGACTTTTTTTAGAAAGACGTTTTTTGACAATTAATTCGATTTCATTCATTCCGATCACTTTCTTTTGTTACTAATACTAGGGACGCATTTTAAGTGCGGGAAGCGCGCTAACCCCCCTCAAGGTAATCCAGCGGCATAATCCAATCATATTTAAACCCTGTCGGAGTTGTATTAAAGCCTCACTCTCAGATTAGTGGAGTTCAGTCTTTAAGCCTTTTTAGAACGAACAAAAAAAAAGTGAATTTTCCGAACAGCTTGGTCGGGATTCTGCTAAAGCGCTTCCTCACTTCTTCAATTTGCTGAGTTTAATTGTCACGGACCTCCTGCAAAGTGTATGATTATTCTCCACGGTGAATAATTGTAATGAGTCTACTCCAGTGGCGGCCCGTGCGCTTGCGACGTGGGCCTTCAAATGTATTGCGAATCAGTTTTGCTTTGACCAGCCAATCTGAGGACGGAGAGACGCTGATGTCATTAAAGGGGGGCAGACAAACGCGAAATCCATTTGCTAATGCAATTGAAGTTACATTGGCCATCACGACTGATTCGGGGAAACCCTTGCAAAATTAGATTGATGTGGTAAAACATGCAGGGAAATCTGATTGCCCCCCCCCCAAAAAAAATCCACAAACTGGAAGTAGAGAAGCCAAGACAATCGTTATGAAAGGAACAGAATGCACTCTGTTGAGAATACCCACCGCTGATCTACTACCGTTAATAACTCAGCCATTAAACAGAGCGCTAGAAGAACCAAAGCATATTCTCCTGTCACATCGTGCTCACCGAGAAGTGCTCCATTTTTAAACGTTCCGGGGGGGAAGGTCTGCAAAGGCACTTTCTCGTTCCTTGCGTGTGAGGAAGCATTTGGTGGATGTTGGAAAAGAATCTTATGCGACATTGTGAGACGTTACCTTGGCCTTGGCGGAGGTATTAGCGTGGTTGTCCTACTATTAGGGAATATAGTCCAGTTGATTAAGTGATGCGCCTTTAATCCGGACAGGAAACGCACGCGTCGTTCCGTGCAGATGTTGACACTAACGTCTGATTATCCCGTCTTAATCCTGTGTCAGGATTACAGCGTTCCATCTTCTCGAGCTGCAGTAAAGCTTGCGAGGGGGGGGGGCGCCGGGGGGGAGAATGTCCTGCCAATTAGTGTTGGAGTGGGTGGGAAAGGAAGAAGATGAAGTAGTGACACATTTACAACCACCCAATACATTTTTTTGGAAGCACAGTGGAAATGTGCAAAACTAAGTTTTTATTAGCGCCTAACCTTTATCCCGATGGAAGTTTTTTTTTTTTTTTTTTTTTTTTTTTTTTTTTTGGGAGCCCAAATCCTGTTAATCCCACTTTAAGATATGCCCTCTTTGGGAAATGTGATGTAATAGCGCTTAGCGGATTTCTCCAGAAGAATGTAGCTCAGAATAAATTAGATAGATGGAATGGATTTATGTTGTGTCGCTCTAAAAAGTTGACGCACCCCTATTCAAATGACAGCTATTTGGAAACCTAAAAAAAAAAATGAGACCAACATAAATCATTTTGAAATTTTCCACCTGTAGAACTCAATATGTTAAATTAAACAAAAAAAAATCATGTGGGGAGATAAAATAAAATGAAACAATGCGTTTGCAGAAGTCAGCACACCCTCTTATACAATGTCTTCACAACGCCAACTATTACGTTTCCTCCGATTAACCCGAATTGACGCTGATTGCTGCCGTAGATGCATGCTGTCAATCAGACGGAGACAAGGTCGTCTCGCTTTCCTGCAATTTTACACACATTCCCTGCGCCATCGATCGGGGGGGGGACCGTCGCAGCTCAAGCAGATGGGGGTCTCATCCCCTCAGTCACATATAATTGGAAGGTGTTAGTGGGGCGGGATTACCGAGCGGCTCGGTGGAGGCGGCGACAGCGCCTTGTTGCCAAATGAGACTCAAACGAAAGCGATGATATCGACCGGCTCCCGGGGGTTAAGCAAGTTGTCTTAATTGCTTCACAGGACAGCAAAGTTCCCGTCAGACTTTGTCAATCAGAACCTTGACGTGAGAGGAATTTTAAGAGCTCCTTATATTGGCTCGGAATGAGACTCGGAATTTGCGCTTCATTAATGGTGCAAAGGTCAACCGGTTTCACTCCGACCCAGACTGTCGTGAATCTTGACATAAACCATCTTTGCAGGTAGTCTGCTGGAAGCGGGAATGCAAAATAGTGTCGCGCCTAACCTATGTCCCGTTGCCTTGATTGCACGGGGACGTCGCATACGCAAGCGAAGCGTCTCTCGCCGAGTTAAACAACCACCATAGCCGCCGCCGCTCTGCACTCTGTCATGTATTACATTCGTGCGATTTAACCAATGGAAACCGACTTCCCCCGCTCCGTCTTCTCCGGAGTTAATTGCAAATTAAGGTGTCACGTTTCACGCGCTCGCCACGATACTCCCCGAGAGAGCCACTCGTCCAATTATCTGCCGGCTGCTGATTTATTTGGTCACTTCTTTTCTCCTTCCTTGCAGCGGCCGCGCTGGCATTTTTCATCCGGCTCGCCTCCCACTTCATCATTCCGCTTATCCCACCTTACTCCCATCGCCGTAATGATCCGCCTGGCCACTTGTTTTTGTAACGAAGGCTCGGAAACAGTTCATGTCCACTTGAACGCTAAGATTTACTTCAAATTATGTCGCACCCTTGAAATTAATACTTTGCACAAGTCTCTTTTGCCTAAAAATGAAAAAAAAAACTGTTTTGGAGAAGCAGGAAGTTAGCAGTTATCAGTGGATGCATCCCTGAATATCATTTTAATGTAATTTCACTTCAACGTTATATGTGGGAGGGGAAAATACAAATAGCGGTTATCCAAGTGATGCAATGAACCGGCATTTTAATGAAGCACTTCTTCCTCCTTTTGCGTCTGCTTGTCACAGCAATGACGAGACATCTCGACCTCCCCTGACACGGTCACTCCCACCTGACAGGCCGGGATGGGCGGCATCCAACAGGAGGTGAACGCACTTCGACGCATTTTCATCCCAAGACTCCGCTGCGTTGCCTCCGTTTGACCCTCCCCCCCGTCACCTGTCAGTCACGGTCGGCCGCTTCACGCCAACTGAAAGACGCTCTCTGTCCGCCAAGATCACTCACTGGTCTCAGCGGCTGTCTGGCCTTATATGTGGTTTCCCATGAACACATTTAACAGTCCTGTCAGGCTGTTGGATTAAACTCCACGTACGTCAGTGGGATAGGATCAAGTGTTGAGCTACCCCCCCATCGTAGGCCGCACGTGAGTCAGTCTAATATGTTCCAGGACGATGCTCGTGTGGCAAAACCCTCTCAAATCATCTTTCACTGTTAAAATGAATGGAAATGCAATTAATCAGTTCTAGCAACCCGCACGGCAGGCCCAATGCTAAGCGAGGTAGGCAGGGCCGTCTTCACATCACTCAACATCAGGCAGATAAAACTCGACTTTGGTGCGACCGAGCATGTCCGATCGCCACCATAAATCCGCCCCGTCTGTCGGTGGCACACCCGTCGTCCCGCTTGGCCATTCCTGGGCGGGGGAGGCGCCCCCTCTCCAGCCCGTCAGCCGCTAAAGTTATGACATCATGAAGCCCCCTCATAAGCAGTCGCCGTTGTTTTGAGGTGAGGGCGCATCAATTTCATGGAGGGTGGGTGGCGGCTGCCCGCCGGATGATTTATGAGTGCTATGATGCCGTGAAATCGCACCAGAAAATGAAGACAGGAACGGTGAAGTGCGTTCCTGCTGAGAGCCATGCGGAATGGTCCAAATATTAGACATGGCCATCAGCGCAGAGGAGAAAACCAGCACAGAACTGTTGTTTGTCCTTATTTTGGCGCCCTTGACCATCGCCATAACGGGGGTTACGGGGTTTGAAATGTAAATCGGATTTGCCCTGACCTCTGCAAATTGGCAGTCGCGTGGTTTCCTCCTTTGCCCTTGTCATCAACGGCCGCGTCTTTGATGTCAATGCACGGGTGTGTTGTAGGTCACTTTGTTAATTCTCAAGCGATCAGCTTTCTCACTGAAAGTCAGCCCTTGATTGTATTATTATTACAAGCGCTTCCTTAACCTTGCTGGTGCAGGCAGGGAACCAAACGCCCTTTGGAGGTTTACACCCGCGCCGTGCTCCGCCCCCGTAATACGCCGTAGTGTGCGAGCGCCGCTTGAGTGTAATTGACACGAATGTGGCGAGACGCGGCGTTTAAAAGCAGCTGGAAACGTGGCTTCCCGTCGTCGCGCTACTCTCCGGGGTTTGCCGTCGCTCTCAAATTACACTTGGAAGGCGGATTTGAATTCACGGAGCATAAAACAGAGTCGGAATCTCTGCTTATCAGCGGGATATTATCGTGGCTATCTTCTGCTGTTGGCGTTAAAGAAGGTGTGATGGATGCGTTTCATCAGTCAGGCTTGTTTGTTTGCACGATGCGGAGGAGTGTAGTCGGCAATAAAAGGAGGTTTTCACATTGTTGTGAATCTATCCAACAGGTTGTTTGTGTTTCGCCGTCTCTGGACTGTGTCGAGAGTCCCGTTCCTGTCAAGTCGCAAATTCCACAGCGTCCAGGTTGACCCAGTTTTCGTCCACTTGCCTCGTTTATGCTGGCATGTCTTCAAAATGTCAAGTCGTTCACCTGGCCGGACATCCAAAGGTTGTCATCCAGTGGACAGTAACGCCCTAGGACAGGAAGTGAGAGACTTAGACCGCTGTTTATCTCATCCGGGAATCGGGTGAGTCTGCTTCCTGTGCCCCCGAAGGCACCTTCAAATCAGGACCGTACCGGGACGCCATCACGGCGGGACATCTCTTGTTTTACGGCCATCATCTGGACGACGTCCCGCCTTCGCGTAATAGATACAAAAGTAGACACCGTCGATAAATCCAAGGCGCCCGAGCACGTAAAAAGGAAAGTGCAAGTTTACAATGCTACAGAAAAAGGGCATAAACAGCTCGACTTGCCGTGCAGAAGCACCATAAAATTCCGATGACAGTCAACGGATGCACCTCGGTGCCAGTATACTAAATCATACATACAAACATGCAGCTGTATATTCCTGCCAATAGGGGGCGCTTTAGAATCTCATCGTCTGTTATTGGGGAATTTTCAAAACTTTTGAGTTTTTTGGTTTTACCTCTAGTCGTAGAACTTCGCTGCCAGGCTCTGCCTCCATGACAAAAACACCAAACCCTTGTGATTTTGTGTCACCCGTCTGTTTAATCTACAGTACGTGGTTCAAATTTGGTAGCAATCAAACATAATCTCGATGGATAAATCCGTCTTCGAAGGGCCACTGAAAAGGCCTAGTATGACTCGAAGATGGCCGCTTGGTAGTTTTCCTGTTTCTTTTCCAGCGTCGCTTCTTGAGGCGTTTTTGTCGGTCTACTCATGACAGACCCACTTTGAGATTTCATGCCGCGAAGTGAAACTTGGGGAATAATTAAGAGGCATGTTTTCTGGATGCATGGCAAGGCTCAGGCACACCTGAGGCTTTTTTTTTTTTTTTTTTTTGGCGCGGCTTCCACTTTCACGGAATTCCCCGTAGAGTTCCACACTGTTGGGCTGCACATGCCGCTGCTGCTGCTGCAGCTCCTTTTAATAACATTGCTACTTCCACCTTGGCTGTGGAAATGCTCTCATTTCAGAGAATGACACAATTCCAGATGCTCCTGCCTTCGTCTCAGGTTGTTTTTTTTGGGGGGGGGGGGTTTTGGGGGGGGGGGGGAGTTGGGAAAAATGCAGGATAAAAGACTTATTTCCTTACCTACTGTATGTGTGGATGTAAATCCAATTTTCAAACAAATCTTGCATTGACTGCATCGTATTCTTTTTTTTTTTCTGTGAATATGTTGACAAATGCTGTATCGAATCCTGGGTTTTGTGTGTGTGCGTTTTTGATCCAAACGCAATTACCAAATGCCATTTGTTTGCCTGAGATAATGGCCCCTCCTGCTTTCCATCCGTCCTTCCCGTCGCTATACCAATCAATGGCCGCTTTAGTGCTACTTCATATTGTGAAGCTGCGCAATCACTCGGCGTCTTGATAAGGAGCTAAAAGGGCCTCAGCGGCCATTTGTCGGCAGAAGAGAAGCTAACAACCTGGCCTTTTTTCGCATGAGTGCAAGCGCAAGCTTCAACACAGCGGAACAACAAGAATAACATGCCACTGAAATGTTTTACCTTCTTCCAAAGGATACGTCTATGAGAGCCCAAAAATTGCAAACATTTTCAATTTTTCTTTCTCTGATTACGGAATGAATATTCTCGCAAAAATTCCGAGCCACGCGTTTCATAAAATGGCGCCATTTCTTTTAGTCACCAACTAGTATCACGGTTACAGCCGGTCGCATTCCAGATGATTGCCTCTCACGCTTTTCTCAAGTCCTGCATTGTTTGCCAAGGAAACGCCAGTGAATGATCAGCATGAGCATAGATCCAAAAAAAAAAAAAAAAGAAAGATTAGGAACCCGAACGTGCCTTGTGGTGTGATTAAAGGCCCCGTCTGTAATAAAACACACACACCTGGCATATGACTGATTGCTAATGGCGTCTCCTTGTTG